AAGTCATGTGACTGCATCTTATGACTAATCATAAGACTTATCTGTCTTTACGATCAGACGGTTTGTCAGCAAACTGTGACTAAAACCATTTTAATAAAGCAGGTGCTTTATTTGTGTTGTTTTCAGGAAATCCTAGGGACTAACACTGACTTCCCTATCTCGAGGTTTACAGTAAAGAGGGATTTTTTTAAAACAAGCTTGTGTTAAAACAAACTTAAAACATTTTTTATGTGTTTTATAAAGAAAAAAAAACTTGTGTTAAAACAGACTTAAAACGTCTTTTATGTGTTTTACTAACACTTCATATTGCTACGTGCCAAAATGCACATAATCTGACAAAATATGTACGAATGAATTATGTGTTGTTTAGACAAATTTAACCTTAGCTTCTGACTAACAACTCATCAGACATATTATGTTTCATGTGATTTTTWAAAAAATCCTCCTGTACATCATTGCACAGTCAGAGTTCTCAGTAATTCTTGCTCATATTAATCTGAGATAATTTTATTTATTTATTTTTGTAGCGGCCTTAAGACACCAAAGGATGGCAGCATTTCCCCACTTTTATCCCTAACAATGTTTCAGTTTACTGAACTCCTGTAACAGCAATCACCCTTTTAGGATATTCAAACTATAAAATAAAAACACAATTATTGTTAATTTGCAGATTTTAATAATAGAATCAGTCATTTTGAATTTTGAAAATGATAAGCTTTATAATGAGTGCATTTGTGTGGGAGTTTCTGCATTATGTTTGGCAAATATTAGAACTGTGTAGATTTCATTAACAGCTCATTAATATGAATGTGATGAGATTTGCGTGTGGGCACGGTGACTATGAAGAACATCCTGAAGGATCATGTGAGAAAAAGCCAATTAGACATTTGGAAAGGGGAAAGTGAGAGGAAAGCTGTTAAACGCTTCTAATTTCATTAGTCTGCAAGTTTCCCCAACTTAAAGCCAATCGCATTGTTGGCTCCTCTCGAACAGGAACTAACAGGACAAATGGCAGCCGCGGCCCAGGCTGGCACACCTTTGCATACTGCAGAATCTGATTATTGGATCAATAACATAGCAACATTTGAAGCATTGCTGCAGAGGCTGGCCTCTTCTCCGGTTGCACATTGCTGGCGTTCAGCGTTCGTTCCCACTTTATAGGTGACAAAGTGTGAATGTGAGCAGGAATTCAAATGGAAGGCCCGTTAAACAGGAGGAGTCATGCAGCAAAAACCTGGAGCACATCTGGCAGGYCAGCAGAACATCTGCACCTGACATCTTTTCTGCTTTAAAAGATCAGAGCTCTGTTTGATTTCTGGAAGTGCTTTGATAGAAACTTATTACAAACTCAGGAGTCCTAATTCATCAGTTTAATTTAACTCAACACTTTAACTGCATTTACTTAAATTGATCACTATTAACCCMCTATTCAAGGTGTAGTACTGTGCAAAAGTCTTGAGCCATATCTTTTTTTGAGTGTTTGTTTAGATTTTGCTTCCAAAAAGGCAGATTTTCCTAAAGTTTAAAAAAAGATCTGGTGTTGGAAGTAATCCGTCCTGTCTGTTCAATTAAATGTTAAGAATCTCATTTTGTGCAGAAAATGTAAACCGCACAAAAAGAAAGAAAATTTGTGTTTGGTAGATTGTTTCTTTGTTGTACCAAAGTTTCTTGGCAACAGATCTTATACAGTTATAAAAACCTATAAATTTCCTTTTAAATGATGTCACATTTAGGAACATGTATTTGTTGGGGTGAGCAGTAGAGCTGAGCGGGATGCACGCATGAAAAATTAGCCAAATCTTCTCTGCCAATCAGCTTATTTTGTTATTATTGACACTTGATTTGAGCTTCCCCCAGGTGCCCACCATAAGATGTATTGCCAAGAAGCATTGTACATTCAAAGAAATAATCTACCAAACAATTTTTTTTACTTTTTGTGCTAAAATATATTTGTTATCTGATAAATAATCTTACTTAAACCAGTTTGATATGACTTCCTAGTCAAGTTGTTTTTTCTTAAATTGTCTTTTATGAGTTCGGGGCCTTTTCATGCCGAAGGAGTCATAGCTCTGTTTAACAAACAAACCTCCAGTTGTCAGAAAATGGTTTGAATTAAAAAATAAAATTAAAATTAAAGTAATAAAGTAAAATAAACGTTTGATAAAAATAAAAGTTGAATTAATTTGAAGCAAAATATGTTGAAATTCAGCATGGCTCAAAAATGCAGGCAAATTACCGTAAACATGCAGAAAACAAGACAATGTGCAGTAAAATATTTATTAACATTACAACCTCCTTAGACACACAAAAAAAGAAATGACACGCACAAAAATATAATAATGATAATCCCAAAATATTCAAAAAGTTCTAGGCCATACCACCTATGTGACATCATATAAATACAGAACTAAAATAAAACAACATGAAAATAAAAATAAAAATCTTCACTGGATGTTCAGATTTCACCTGTTTGATCATGAACAAATATGGTTTTGAGAAATGATTTGGCAACATTTTAAACAAATGATAAATAAGAAATTCCATCAGAAATAMATGGCCTGGGCTGCTCAATCACCTCCCAGATTAAGAAACTCAACAAACTGAAGRAGAGTGATTTCAGAACACTGGCCTCAAATTACAAATACACAACAATACTGATAAACAGAAACACTTTSTTCTGGAGGGAAGTATTTAATTATAATATTTAAAAAAGGCTTCATGATGAACGTCACAAAGCATAAACTGCCATCATTTCTGCCCTCGGGTATTGCTGCATGTTGCATTTGTGAAATGCAGATAAGTGGATAATGACAACACAGAGCATGAGACAGAGATAACCGCTGGAAGAAATCCCTGCTTCCTGCTGTTCATCCCCTCTGCCCCTCTGTTCATCCCTCCGTCCCACCGTCCTCTGCAAAGAATCTGCTGTGATTCTGTCTTTCTCAGCCCAAACAGGTCGCAGGCGCTCTCATCTTGCCAGGGTCTGTGCTGCACCGGCCGGCGCCGACCACAGAGACCGGATGGAAGAGGCTCAGAAAGAGAGAGCAGCAGCCCAGATCACAGCCAGTTCAGACGCTGTGTCTCTCTCTCTGCCGCGTTCCCCTCTCTCTGCTTTATCTCCATGGTGCACACACGTCGACCTGGAGCAAGGCTGTATACTGGCAAGGGAGGCTAGAAACAGAAACAAGGGGGTGGATGGATAGTGGGGTGCGGGGGGAGATGCAGTGTGAGCGGGGATAAAGGGACACGCTGCTTCAATAGCGGAGCAGGTCCAGGGACTAATTGGATCTGGTAATGGCAGGTCAGAGTGACTTAAGGGCTCGTTAGAACCAGTACAGCTCCTTGCCTTTCTTGTGTTGCTGGAGGCCTGAGGAGAGAGAAAAAAGGCCGCGACACAATGAGGAGGACAACAGCGAACAACAGAACACAGGTTGTCATGGAGTCTACTTTGGCCAAACATCCTGTGTCAGAGGGGTGAAAAGAAAATGTCTGTGATGATTGTGATGCTTTTGTGTGTGTGTGTGTGTGTGTGTGTGTGTGTGTGTGTGTGTGTGTGTGTGTGTGTGTGTGTGTGTGTGTGTGTG